GGGGGGGGGGGGCACCGGGTTAATGGGGGGAAATGTCTCATAATTTCAATATACATATATATATATCTATATTCTACCGTACTCTGGAATTTCCTTGTACGTGAGATTTTTTTTTCCAAGTGCAAAAATTGTGAGGCCTTCGTCTTGTGCGCCGAGCAGCGGGGACTTAAATTCGGCGGCGCTGCTTCTGTGTTGACATGGGCGGAGGGAGGGGTACGACTACAATGTGCCGAAGCCCGTTCGGCTCTCGCACTCGCAGCTCGTAGGGATAGGGATAGGGATTAATCGGGACAGGTATGGGTATACCGAGTATCTTATCTTATCATGTTGGATGCAGCCAAGTTTAATGTATACCAATAACTATACACACGTCTGAAGAGTTTTTTTTTGATACGCAAACTCTTATTGTTAGATGCATGTATATTGCAAGATTGTTCGCAATATGTAGGATAAAAAGGAGAGGGGGTCCATAGTCATTCTGCACATGCAAGCAAGAAAGCACGCCAAGCCAAGCCAAGCAGACAGAGATAGACAGACCACAAGCGCTCACCATGACCTGTAAACTCTCTCTCCACCCTCTGCCCACTGCATGCCCACTCGCTCACTCAACGCCACATGGCCATGATAACGGGCGTTTCGCGAGGCATCACGGCAGGGCTTGGCGTTAGAGCTGGCGCGACGAGGCGCAAGAGTGCGTTGGGCGTTGGGAGCTGTAGGACCAAGCATGTACTCGTCTGCTGACGTCCATGACAGATTACACTTGTATACGTACATGTGTGGCAGAAGCAAGAGGCTGGCTAGCGGAGTAAGTGAGTGGCACGTGAGATGTCCGTAGTGAGTGGCACGTGAGATGTCCGTAGTGAGTGGCACGTGAGATGTCTGTAGTGAGTGGCGCATGTGATATCCGTAGTGAGCGGCACATGTGATATCCGTTGGCAGCGGTAGTGCGTCGAGCATTTGTGCCAGCTCATGTGCGGAAAGTCATCTGCAGTGACAAAGATAGTCGCGGCGACGCCATCAACGTCGTCGTCGTCGTCACTAGCGCGGATGTGCTATTCTCAAAAGACCAACGACTACGCGGCCCCTCTTCAACGTCCACCCGCAGCCATGGACCCGCGTCCACGGGTGCCGGCCAGAATCAGAATCAGAATCATAAACACGTCGTCGGTGGGTGGGCTCGCAAACCTGTTTCGTCAGCCCTCGCGTAGGTCTACTGTATGCGGGCATGAGCACGCGCAGGTCAGCACAGGAGTTGGGTGGGGAGCATCGTCAATGCCGTCGCACCCACACCTGGCCCCGTGCAGTCGGATATAAGTAGAGACGGGCGAGCCCGGAGAACGTGGTAGAGGGCAGCGGATTGGGGGGGGCATCGGCCATGTTGCAAAGATTGTACGGCATGGCCATGGCTCGGTGGTGAGGACGCAAAACGGGTTTCGGATCAGGGCATTTTCCCGCAAGGCTCGTGGGTTCGTTGATGCTGAGAGGGAGCGCGTCGTGGTTTGGCGGCTTTTTTCTTACTTTCTGTCTCTTTCTTATGGCTCCCGCTCGCCTGGTTGCTTGGGGCCAGGCCCATGGTGGCTGGGGCGCGGGCGAGGTGCTGCTGGACGGGGCCTTGTTTAGACGCAAATAGGTGCTATAAGTCGGATGTAGTATGAGTAGGATCCAGTGCACTATGGGTACCTGAGAGTAGTCGTGTGTCGCCGCAGTGCCGCCGTTGAAACATGCACAAGGCGGCGGGATCGCCATGGAGGACGAGGGAAGGTCGATGCCGCCACACCCGTGCAGCGGCAGCGAGGCGATAGCGCTGGCAGTCTGTTGGCCGCCTGCTCGATGGCGCATCTCAACGGCAACGGGTGGATTAGCTAATGGGCCGCCGTTGGAGGGGGAGGGGAGGGGAGGGGGGGGTTGCCGCGGAGCCTCAGCCAAGGCGCATCCTCCTCTTCTTACAGCTGTCAGCGGCAGCCACGCGGCCAGGTACACGGCACGGCCAAAAGCTTGTTATCGCACGCCCTCAGGCTCGCAGGCGGCTTGGATGGCGGCGGCGGCGGACAGAAGGCATCGGGGGCGTGAGGTGATGAGCGAGGCCGATGCATATGGGAGGTCATGCATCGGCAGTTGGACATGGCCAGTCGCCGACGGCGCGCGGGCCACCTGGTGCGAGGCGCCATACATCGTTACTCCCACTCCTCACACACTCTGGGTTTGAGACGTCGCCCCAAACGCCTCTCAAACGCCGCCCCTCTGCCCATTCGCATAGCCAGCGCGCTCGATGCATGGCCACGCTGGTTTCCTCTGGTTTCACCTCCCCTGCCCGGCCCCGTCGCGCTCTCTAGCCACGCCCGCCCGCGCTGCCCATTGGCTCGTCCGCTGGTTCGGCACGCGCTGTGGAATGGCGGTGCCGTGCGCCGTCGCAACCAGGCCATTGAAGGTGGTTCGACTTCTGCTACCGTTTCGCTTTCTTGGGGTGCCATGGCCATTGATTCTCACGTCCTGGCCAACTGATACCTTCGTATTACCCACTTGGCTGCTGGTGCCGACATGACCTGACCTGCGACCCCCTGCCCGTTGCCGCCGCCGCCCTCGTTTTTCGCCCCAACTACAACCCTCCTGGGCTTATAGACTTTTGTTTCCCCTCCTCCCTCCCAAGACTCGTCCGATTTCATGCCGGTGCTTCCTTAGCCGCGTGATCCCAACGCCTCTTTCTGCCATCTCTCTTCTCTTCTTCCGTGCGGGCACCTTTAGTGAGTCGAAGCCTTCCGCAGTGCTGTTTGCTCGTTTTTCCTTCTTTCGCGCCCGCGACTAATGCTATTGCTCGCCTCCAGATTCCCTTGGACCTTCTTTGAATTTACTATTTGCTATATTCGGCCACTTTCAGCAGGTCTGAAGCCTATCGGTCTTCCCCTCCGACAGGCGCTCTACGGTTACTGCATTCGCTCCACTCGATATTAGTCATGTCTTCTTTCACTGCCAGCCTGACGGGTCGCGAGCGCTCGAGATGGCCGCCGCTTACCCGCATGCTCATGTCTGGTGAAATGTCCGAGGAGAAGGGGCGCGAGTTGACACGGAAAGAGAAGTTTGACGTGTGGATGGTCAACGAGGGTTACCGAAGATTGTGAGTCCCGTCTCTGCAGCATGTCACAAACAACACGGCTAACCCGAGCAGCTTCGTTTTTACTTTTGCCGTTCTCCACGTTTTCGTCTTTGTCTTTGCCATGATGAACTACGGCCTCAAGGTATGCACCGCCACACTTTGCATCATCAAACCGCGCTCACACAGCCCAGGACAACCTCCTCAACGCAAGATCAGTCTTTGGTCTGACGTATCCCATTGCTCGTTCAGCTGCGCTTGTGCTCCATGTTGACGTAGCCTTTATCCTGTTCCCTGTATGCAGGAATCTCATCTCCATTGCCCGTCGTACGCCTCTCAACGACGTAATTCCCTTTGACAAGAACATCACCTTCCACAAGCTGGTCGCCTGGTCCATTGTCTTCTTCTCCTGGGTTCACACCATTGCCCATTGGAACAACCTGGCCCGCTTCTCCGCCCACAACAACCTCGGATTCATGGGTTTCATTCTCGCCAACCTCGCCACCGGTCCCGGCTGGAGTGGCTACGTCATGTTGATTTGTCTGATGGCTATTGCACTCACGGCGGCCGAAAGTCCTCGTCGTGCAAACTTTGAGCGTTTCTGGTACATGCACCACCTCTTCATCGTCTTCTTCCTGTTCTGGTCCATCCACGGTGCTTTCTGCATGATTACGCCCGACTTTGCGCCCTTTTGCGCTGGTATTGCCGTCTTCTGGGAGTACTGGATGTATGGAGGATTTGCATACTTGGGTGAGCGTATCGCCCGTGAGATCAGGGGCCGACACAAGACGTACATTTCCAAGGTTATTCAGCACCCTAGCAACGTTTGCGAAGTTCAAATCAAGAAGGAGCACACAAAGACGCGTGCTGGACAGGTATGTCAAGTCTTGTTAATATTGCTGTTTCCGCTAACAACCCTAGTACATCTTCTTGTGCTGCCCCGAAATCTCCATCTGGCAATACCATCCCTTTACCCTTACTAGCGCGCCCGAGGAAGACTACATCTCGGTTCATATTCGTATGGTCGGTAACTTTACCAAGGCCTTTGGAAAGGCGCTTGGCTGCAACCTCGACAAGAAGGGACCCAGCGAGAAGAGCGAAAAGGGCGAGTCCAGCGAAGAGATTGCTCTGCGCCAAATTCTTCCCCGTGTCTACATTGACGGACCTTTTGGTTCCGCCTCCGAAGATGTGTTCAAGTTCGAAGTTGCCGTGCTTTGCGGTGCAGGTATTGGTGTTACTCCTTTCGCCTCCATCCTCAAGAGTATCTGGTACCGCATGAACTACCCTCAAGGATCGCGCACTCGTCTGAGGAAGGTTTACTTCTTCTGGATTTGCAGAGATTTCGGCTCCTTTGAGTGGTTCCGTTCGTTGCTCCTGGCTATTGAGGCTCAAGATGTCGATGACCATATTGAGATCCACACTGTAAGTTTAACCAACCTCTCTCTTTTGCCATGGATGCTAATCCTCTTGCAGTACCTCACCGCAAAGATCAAGGCCGACGACGCAACCAACATTATGATCAACGACGCAAACGCTGAACAGGATGCCATTACTGGTCTTCGCGCCCCGACCAACTTTGGTCGTCCCAACTGGGACATGATCTTCAAGTCGATTCGTAAGATCCATGCTCCCGCCGAAGCAGGTGTCTTCTTCTGCGGTCCCAAGGGTCTTGGATCCACGCTCCACATCAAGTGCAACATGTACTCTGAGCCTGGCTTCAGTTACGTGTGGGGCAAGGAGAACTTCTAGTCGACCTGTCAAAAAAAGAGAGCACAACAAAAAAATTCGAACCATCAAAAGAAAAGAGAAGATCAAGATGTGGTGTATTGAAAGGCTACTAGGAAGAAGAAGAAGTTACGATATACCATGTTTGGTGCAGAACATTGTGAGCGAATCTTGCAATCCCACACCATTATCCGATGTACATAATTCGCTCGTCCCGGCATCTTTTTCTTGTTCCTGTCCCGTTGTCCTTTTGATCTTTTGATCTATTTTTTTCCTCCCTCCGTTTTCCTCCCCTTCCTTTCTTCCCATCCATCTCCAATAATCTAGATTCCCAGCTGCAAGCCGGCTGGGAGGCTGGTTTTCCGACACACACACACACACACACACGTCTAATGATACCAAAGCTCAAAATCTTTTTACACCATATACTTTAATGAGAGATTTTTCTTTTCCAAAACACTTGTAGTCTTGTGCATGTCAAGTATCAATTATTGTCCATTGCTATGATTCAGAATCTTAGATTACATTGAGAGATGAAGACAAAATATCACGTCATGTTTGGAATGCATATGAAATACCGAGTAAACGCTCCATGCACCTGCGGCAACCCCAAGAATTGAAGAAGAAGAAGGCAACCAAAAGCGCTCAGGAAAAACACCACCAAAAGGCACAGCACACACCCGTTTCAACACGACACCAACGAACCACGATGCGAAAAAAAAATGCTCCAGTCCCACAAATTCCTTCTGCTTCTACGGCCCACACCATCTGCTTACCCAACCCACATGTGCTTACCAAGCCGCCTCATCCCCCATCCTCTCCTCGCACATAACCCCGAAGCGCAACCCCTCAAACCCGCGGGCCAGCGTGCTGAAATTCATGCCTTGGCCCACCCAACCGTATGATCTATTGACATGGAATCACGCCACACATGCGTCCATATACGCCCCACGAGCATACGCCCACGAGCATACGCCGTCGAGCATATGCGCCCCACGCTCCACGCCAACCGCACATGGGCAAGCAAGCAAGCAAGCCAGCCAGCCAAAAAAAAAGGTAAGGGAAGGAAGCGGGCAAACGAAAGCGTATAGTAATGCTATGGTATGGCAGGGTAGCCTTAGCGACAGGGCAGGGCAGGGCAGGGCAGGACAGGGCAGGACAGGCACAGCGGACAATGGGGGACAAGGGGATTCCTTTAATTCATGCGTGTGTGGATGCGAGTATGGATGCGTGCGCCACGCCAAACAAGGGGCGAAACCGCATGTGCGGCACGCTAACGACGGAAGCCAAAGGCCAAAGGGAAAACGTGCGGCTACGTACGTACATGTATACTTGGGGGTTGCGCGTTGGCACGCTGTGTACAAGGTTGGTTGGGAGGGGGGGGGGTTACGATAGGGTGCTGCGTATGGATGGATGTATGGATCTTTGTCATAATAGAGTTTATGTTGGCCCTTGCTGCGTTGTGTTGCGTTTGGATAGACATTGTATGGTGGTGTGTGTAAGTATACATATGTGGATATGTGGATATGTGTATGTGGCTAGACTGGCTGTACCTAGTACGTAAGACGGTAATTTCCCGCAGGATTCCTTTTTTGTCTCAACATGGGCGCGCTAGCCACACGGGACGTGATGAGATGGCGATAGAGATGCTTCTGAGATAACATATGAGATGGAAGGGGGAGGGGGATTACATGACGGAATTGGTATTAGCGTGGGTCGCCCCCCCCAATGCGAGGGGGGGGGGAGATTACTTAGTTACTCTATCCAGGTCCTCGGAGACTTTTCTTTTTTTTTCTTGCTTTCTTACGTGTACATTTACTTATGTGTGTGTTACTATGTATGCATGTATGTACGTATGTATGTCGGGGCGGGCGGAGCGGTTCGGGAACCAGGGGTATCGCTGGGACCGGGACTACTGTAGGGTTGTGTGTGCTAACCCTCCCTTGTTGAGGGAGTGGGAGTTGCTTTGAGGACTCGGACGCGGACGGCGAGCAGAGGCAAAGGGGTTGGTTGGTTGGTCTAGGGCTTTTCGTTGATTTACGAAAGAAGGGGACAAGGAGGGGGTGTCGTGAGCGGATGCTGTGACGGCTGTGTTTAAGAAGGTAACGCTGGTCAAGCTTTGCGTGTCTCGGGAGCCAAGGGCTTGGGTGTGGAGCGGGGCCGATGGAGACTTGTAAGGGGAGGGGGGACAGAGCTATCACTATGCATGCGCATGTGGCATGTGTGTGGAGAGTTGTGGCTGTGGCGGGTGGGGGATCTCGGATTATCCGTATTATGGGTATTACTATTTGTCTGTGTGTAGTAAGTGTCTTGGTTGGTTGGATACGGTTTGGCATGGTGATGACGCGTGGAATCTTGCATGCAAGCTCTGTGTCTCTGTGTGTGTGGCCCGGGGAAAACGCCATGTTTAACGGGTTTCGAGCGTCTCAAGTTGGGCTATTGTATGGCTACATATGGGCTTGGGCCTGGCAGGCTTTCTTCCAGCCTTTCTGCTGCCACGCGTTCATTTCGACAAGACCTTCTATTTCTCTGGCGCCCGGAACGATGCCCTCGCCTACAGTTGCGTCGTGAGCCCCAATCACCCATACGTAAGCTTTTCGCGCAAATTCGCGCGTGCGCATCATCGTGTCGACGGCCTGCTCGGGGTTGATGTGCATGCCAGCCTTTGCATACGGAGGCCGGGCGGTGCGTTTCGGTTCTTTGAGGATATCGACGTGGTGGAAGCAATCTCCCCCGAACAGCACAAACGAGCTGTCCTGCTCCGTTGGCCCGGAAGTCGTTCGTACAAGCATCATCTGGTGGCCTGCAGAATGCCCTGGTGCGTCAACCAGGTACGCTGATCCGTCACCAAAAACGTCGTATGCCCTTTCAAAAGCACCAAGGCGTATCCATTCGGGCTTCTTCAAGCCAACTGCTGCGTATTTGCCCTCAATCATACCCTGCGCGACTTGACCTGCCCTCTCGTCTGCAGCCTCGCGGAGTACTTCATCAGGTATGTAGCTCTCTACAATCTTCCTGCTTCCATCCACAGGCAGCATGTCGCTCAGCGTAGGCGCCTTTGGATCAACCGGATAACCCGGACGCGCATATGTGCACGTTGTCGGTCCAATCCACAACTCTGCATTTTCGAATCCGCCCTTTGCTCCGTCGCCAACGTGGTCAAAATGCATGTGCGAAAATATCACAGCCTTGATCTTCTCGGGCTGCTGCTCAGGCGAGCCGTGTGCTCTGAGGACTTCCCCGGGAGACTTGGGCTCGCATTTGAAAATGGACAGCACATTGTCGCGGATAAGAGGAGGCAGGTTTTCAAGATCGCGTCGAATACCTAGGTCGAACATGTATTGTGTTCCGGTTGCCGTGTGCTCAATGAGAAAGGCATAGTTTGGGGCATGGAATGTTTTGCGCTTTCCATCTGATGGTTTGGACTCGGAGGGGTCTTGAGGCTGGTCGCATCCCGGGAGCATGACGAGGTCGTAGGGGATATGGATACCGCCGGCTTGGATGAGATGCACTTTGCATGTTGCGGATGAGGGCGGTATAGGGTGCCAGGTGAGGTCTGAAGCTGTTTCTGTCATTTTGCTATTCTGGATTGTGAGCAGTTTGAGTTTTGAAGGTTAGGCTTTATTGATATAAGTATGATCTGACGGCGTTGATGCAGATGCGAAGACGACTGCATCTGTAGGCCGGTGCATGACGTCACACTCGCTGCTTAGCAATTCTAGTAAAAATAGTCTGGTCTTACGTGGGAATAGGCATTGGTCTGGATTTGATTGTCATCGGTACATCCAACTGCACAGACGGCACGCGTTGCATTGTCGCTTATACGCATCGGTATCTCTCTTACACAGATCTCTAGATCAAGACCTTCACAATCCAATCACCCAGGGGTCTAGTCGTCCCACAGTTTTACATCAGACCAGACTTCCTTCCGATACATGGCAAGAGCAAGCGTTATCTGACTTACCAGCAAGCAAAAAGGCTACGTCGCACACCCATCTAAAGCCTCAACAGTATTTTTATATGCAATGCTAAAAAGAAGTGATATTTCAAGTCTCTCAAGTATGGAAAAAGGGCGCTAACTTCTTTGATTATAGCACTATCTCTATCGAGCTTAGGTAGCACAACCCTAAGACAACCTTGGCCTACTGGCTTACATATAGTCAAATAACACCGCCCCGCCTCCACGAAAGAAATCGAACAGCTTTTAACTGTATTTAGGCCAGTATTGTTCGATTTCTTTTGTGGAGGCCGTGACCTGGCTATCACAACCGGAAGAAAGAAGGAACAAAGGGGAGGATGCATATTACCTACTACAGACTAGCTTAACGCGCTAGCACTTGCTCCTCCTTCCCAAGTCCTTTGCGGCCACCTCACATCAATTCACCGTCCGTTGGGAAGTATCAGCATTTTTTTTGGAATTATTCTTGCGTCGCTGTACTACTGACATTGATCTCACACAGTCGCCATGTCTGATCATGAGGATGAGGATGCGCCGCTGGACGTTGGAATGTTTGTGGATGGTATGAGGGCCCGGTTCCACGAAAGATTGGCAGATATGTCAGTGGAAGAGCGGGCTAAACGCGTCGTGTTTGACGGTTGGATGATAAACCGTGCTCCTGAGTACCCGATGCCTAATTGCGAACCAGTCCAGAAAGTGCATTGCCCTCAGGCGGCTCCAGGACAACGGCTTCTTCTCGACGGTCTCTACACCGACGTGCTTTCCGTCATCATCGACTGGATTTGCGCTGAAAAGGAGGCCAGCCACAGCTACAGCGTAACACGGGCAAACCATGGTTTCCGCAAGAAAGGAGGTACTTTGTTCTGTCTCTCGTTGGTAAACAAACGCATGCGGTCACTATGTATTTCGAAGCTGTTTGAAAAGGTGTTCCGCTACACCGCCTCAATGGGAGAGCTCAATCGTCGTCTGCGGGACATTGAAGGCAACCCGCTTCTTCCGTCGCTTCCTAGTGTTTTGAGGGCCATCAAGTGAGTACTAGGCACATCGATTCCTTAGGCTACCTGTTGACGAGAGGACGCAGAGTCTGCGATATTGTCACCACGTCTCGCGGCAAGAACACGCGGTGCCGAACTCGACTAGCAAGGACACTCCCGAAAATGGAGTGCCTCACTGAGCTCTCCATTACCCACCGAAAAGACGTTGACATATCTGGTCTTTCAGCGACGTTTGACCGCAAGTCTGTTTGCCTGGAGTCAGTGAAGCGGCTGCGCATCTTGTCGAATGGTAGCTGGGACTTCTTGATCCGCGCGTGTCCGAATGTCAAGACCCTGGGCTTGGGGTTCAACCTCGGCCATGACGATATCATGGAAGCTGCGCAAGACCTGAAGCACCTCAAGCATTTGGAAATATGCTGCCACGCATGGGACGTTGCTGGCATCAACAGGCTGCGCTCCTTCGTGCCAAAAATCCAGAGTCTGGTTATGAGAGGTGCCCTTGATCCACACCAACATGCTAGCGTAAGTTGAATGAAGACATGACTGCATCTCCATGGACAACTAACTCATCACCCTCTTTTTTTTCTCTTGTAGGACTTCGCCATTGCTTTGAACCATTTCGAACACCTCCGCGACATTGCAATAACGACGTTGTGCCACGTCAGTGACGAGGACTTGGAATCCCAGTTTTCCGACGACGACTCCGGCACGGACAGCATCATCGCGCTGCTAGAAATAGGCGTCGCGAATTTCGAAGATGAGAGCCTGGTGAGAGACGAGTTTTACGAGCACTGGTCCCACATGCGCTGTCTCTACATAGTGGACGACAAGGCAAGGCGCCAGCCACACGAGCCAGGTGAAAAACCGTTCTGGTATCCCGACGACGAGACGATAACTGGCGAAGACGCCGTTTTCGGCGTCGAAAAGCTCTCTTACGACCGCGAGGGCTTTCTCGACTTGTTCTCGTTTCCGAGACCAGTGTCTTATTGCGATGAGGCTTATGATCCGCCGTTTTACAGGCCCATGTCCCGCCACGAGCGGGAAGACAAGGTGAGCTTCGGTTTGCAGAAAATGCCTTGTTGCAAATTGCTAATGGAAGCAGAAGCAGGAAAAGCGCCGGTACACGTCTGTCAAGATACGCGCGTCTCATTTGGATCTATGGGACTGAGGCTTCCACGACCGTCTGTCGGGATACTCACCTCACCTCAACCCCCCTGGTGCTAAAAATTGATAATTGCTTCTTTAATATCGCAGCCGTTAGGACAAGGGCGAGCACAGTCGAGACTTGGTCAAGAAACCCGATAATTCTCATTGTATCAATAACGCTGACCATGTATCACCTCAATCGAGGCGGAATGCTACTACACTCGACGCAACAAACGTACTCCCATCTTGCGTGCCGTATATAAATCCAAAACAAAGCCAAAAAAAATAACAGCAGGGTATATACACCTGACATTGCGAAAATGATGCCCATGGATGGATCAAGAAAGAGGAAAATATTTCTACTTGATCAAGACGGGCGACGCCTTGCCTGCCGCCTCGGCAGCCTTATTTGCGAGTTTCTGCAGCTTCTGGGCGCGCATCTGGCGGAAGTAGCGGAAAAGGAGGATAAAAGAGAGCTCGATGCGCTCCTTGGTCATCATGAGGAAACCCTGGACAAGCAGACCCTTGAGGATCTGAGGGCCGATGCCCTTGAAAAGGGCCATGGGGCCTTCGTGCTCAATAATGTATTGCATGACTTCTGTAAAGGATTTGAAGGGCTTGCCGTTCCTGGCCGACGGGGGTTTTGACTGCAGGCCGACTTTGGCGACAATGAGGGGCTGGGTTGCGATTGTTGCGAGCGTCTTGGAAAGCGAGCCGAGGACTGTAATGTGTTAGATTGTGGCCTTTTATTTGGATAAAGACAAAGCGGAGAAGACTTACGGAATGCCTCCAGGGGCTTCAATGTCTTCTTTCCTGGGTACATGACTTCGCGCAGCCGTTGGTAAGCACCATATGTGATGGAGGGGTTGATGACCAGGACCAAACTCGCCCTCAGTCCGCGCCAGAGACCTGTCCAGCCATCCTCGCCATTGACTACGTCCATGGCAGTGGCAATCATGCCCTTGCGCTCTGCCTTGCTCATGGTCTGCTGTCTCGTTGTCACCACGGCAACAGGGATGGTGAAGAGCTGAGCGAGGGCACCGGCTACGGCACCAAGAGAGAGCTCGATTGCGGTGCCGGGCGAGGATTGGAGGGAACGGTTGGCCATGTACAGACTGCGGACAATGGTATACCAGTAAAAGTAGGCGAAATTGGTCGAGGCGACGCCAAGTAGCGAGCCTCCTATGCCGGCGTACAGACCAGACAGGCCCTCCTGGGCAAACACCTTCTGTAGCGCGTCGAGCGCGCCATCGTAGTGCTCTTCGTCGGGGGGATTGGCACCGCTGGCAGTCGAGGAGTGCTTCACCTGGACTTGTAACCGCGTCTTGATCCTGGCGGTGGGTTAGCATGGCGAGCGTAAGACGGCACGTGGGCCAACGGCAGTGAGACGCACAAGTCCAATGGGTAGACGAGAGTGTTTGCGATAACAGCGCCTGCAGCACCGGCAACAGCATAACCCCATGGCGGTAGGGTCTCTACCTTGGACTGTCCTGCCATGGCGGGTCTCGTGGAAAGCGGTCGCTGTGGGAAAATGGGACTCGGGTATTGCGACGAGCAGGCAAGGCAAGGCAGGCGGCGGCGGCGGCGAGGGGTTCTGGTGTGTGGTAGCAAGGTGCGTGGCACTATCTCATGACAGAGAAGGCGGCGAGAAAAGTCAAGATAGCAGCATCGGAGGTTTCGAAAAAAGCGGGCAGGGGACGTTGGTGACGTTCCGCAACGCGATAGCGCGGTCGCATGCATGGCATCCTTCTTCCGAGGTTGCAGAGGCCGAGGTTCAACGCTCGGTCGGCCGTATGACGACACGCGATAGGCCCGTAAGCCCTCTGTCCAACGTGACTTATCCGTGGGCCCGCAGGCGATTCCCGGTCCTGTTGCTACATGCTGCGGATACTGGGCCGGCCTTGGTGGTGGTGAGCAGGAGTGAAGCACAGGGAGAAGCCGTTGGTTCGCGTGCCTGCTTTGCCGTGGATCCAGGCAATCACAGTGCTTGACCTCGACGGGCAGGCGCGACCGTCGTTTGGGCAGGAGCGTGCGTCGCGCTAAAAGTTGCTGAAGCCGCAACCCCAGACGGCGCTCAGCACATCTACATCTGGCCGGGCTCCACTCTAACCTCAACCCACCGTGGCCGCCGTGCTCTTGCTATGGCCCGCCACAACTAGTCGTGCCGTCTGCATGCCGTTCCTGTCCAGTATCCGTCCTGCTATCCCCTGCTCCCTTGGCTGTCGTTCGCCATGGCAGACCGAGCCAGTCAGCTCGAGGCTTACAAAGCGACTGCAAGCGTAGGTGCCATCGCAGCCAGACTGCTCACTGAGCCTTCAATGGTGCCCCATACTGATCGGAACTCTAGGACTGCCGCTCTCGCGTGGAAGCGGCTGCGACCAAAGACGAGGCGCTGAGCTTGGCCATCAGCGCAGCCGAGAATCTCATCAAGGCGCTCAAGTTGGCCTCGAGCCCAGATGAGAGAAAGCAGCTCAAGACGCAGTGCGGCGAGGTCATGAATGTGGCCGATCGCATCAAGAAGACTGCAATTTGGACGCCGGCCATCAAACCACAGCCGAGTGGCTCGACAAACGAGCACATTGGCCAGTGGGCCGCACAAGTCGCTTCAAGTGCAGACCCATCTTCAGTGCCTTACGAAGACACCGCTTCGCAGTCAGGCTCGTTGCGCGATGGCATTTCCTCTAGCTCGGCACCTAGTTACCAGGCCTATGCAACACCAGGTAAATATTCTTCTTCTTCAGCTCCGGCATTTACTGCACACGCAAGTCACTTGTCGGCAGAATCTTCCATTCAGGGGTCTGGTGACAGCACTTTGCTGTGCAATGACAGCGTCTCAATCAATAAACCAGGTGCATTCACTAATACATCACACGAAGATAGCTTCGATAACAGACCCAGCAAAGGCCCTATCGTTAACGACACATCTCGGCCGAGTGTGAGGTCATCCCCAGAACCCTATCCTTCCAACACATATTCCCAGTCAAAATTACCCAGCAAAAGTGAACCAGCGCCATCGAATGCCCCCCAGACCCAGATATATAGACTTCGCGAGCCTATATCAAGCAGGAAATTGCCTCCCAGGGAGAGCATCATCCTGTTGAAGTCATCTCGGGTCAATGGATTCAAGTTTCCGCCCTGGGACAAGAACCCATCCGCAGACGAGTTTGCCCTACGCAAAGGCGACGCCCACTTCGAGTGAGTAACATGCGCTTGAAAAGGGGCTGATCCATTCTGACCAACGTAGGGATCCGTGCTATCTTACTCTTTCCCCATACCAGCAACAATTCTTCAAGGACTGGTTGCCGGCCCAAGAAGCTCTACCGCCTCCTTTGTTCAACCCCGAAAGCAGGGAAGATACCGGTCCGGTAATGTCTAGTTCGAGGCCTCTCGATCTCGTACAAGATGCGGCTACAGACTGCTCAGTGGTTACGAGCCTATGCGCTGGTATCGCTCGCGCAGAACGCGGGCACGAACAGGTTGGTCCTTTATCCGCTAAACAGCTTCGATGTTGACAATGCTAGATACTCACGAACAAAATATACCCATTTGACAAGAATCTTGGAAGACCAGTGCGCTCTGCGAATGGCAAATACGTTGTACGCCTCAATTTCAATGGTTGTTGGAGAAAGGTGGTCATCGATGACCGGCTGCCTGTGTCTAGCACGCACCGACTGCTTCATGTCATTGATCGCCGCAATCCGGCTTTGCTGTGGCCACCACTTCTCGAGAAAGCCTATCTCAAAGTCCGCGGAGGATATGACTTCCCGGGTAGTAACTCATGTGGCGATCTGTGGGCGTTGACCGGTTGGATACCAGAACAAGTCTTCTTGCAGGAGTAGGTCACCATGGATCTGCACGGGTCCTCAGTATACTAACGTTTAGCAGGTCAGACACTGTTCCGGACGAGATATGGAAGCGCATCTACAACGCCTTCATGTATGGGGATGTTCTCGTTACTGCAGGCACAGGCAAGATGTCTCGTAAACAAGAGCGCGAGCTTGGTCTTGAGGGCCAGCACAGCTATGTTGTACTGGATATGAAGGAGACGGGCCAAGACCGGCTATTGCTTGTGAAGAACCCATGGGTAGAGGGCAAGGGGTGGCGGGGGCCTCGTCCACCTGCTGCGGTGGCCATGGACAAGTCCATATCCCACGGAGAGACTAACAACGGCGTGGAAATCTATCACCGGGATAGTATTCCGACTGAAGATCGACCATACCCAACGACATTCTGGATAGGGCTTGAGCAAGCCATACAGCATTTTGAGAGTCTGTATCTGAACTGGAATCCGGGACTCTTTGGTTATCGACAAGACATTCATTTTGAATGGGATGTCAGCATCCCGTCGCCGGATGGATGCATTGTCAAGCACCCACAGTTTGCTTTTACGTCCAAAGGGGGTGGACCTGTCTGGTTCCTCTTGAGTCGTCATTTCCGGGACGTGCCAGAGACTACCAAGGAAGAGTCGGATACATTCAATGACGGGAGCGTCCGGCCAGACAGTCAGGTCAGCTCCAACGGGGACGCACCGAAAGGCTACATGAGCATATACATGTGTACCGGAAACGGGGAGCGGCTTTATATGAAGGACACGTACCTTGAGTCGAGCGACTACGTTACAACACCGCAATGCCTCCTCCGGGGCGAGACGGATGCCAAGACAACATACACTGTGATTATTGACCAGGATGATCTGCCACCGTCGACGTATTCATTTTCCTTGTCGGCATTTGCCAACACGCCCATTACGCTTGAGCCAGCGAGGCCACGGTTTCCGTTACAGAAGATTGAAGAGGGAGCATGGACGAGACAGACGGCTGGGGGCAGGACCGACTCGCCGAATTACTTTGACAACCCTCAGTATTCGTTGCATGTCAGCCAAGGCGGATCACTGGCGGTGCTGCTGACGAGTACAAATCACGAGCATCCGCTGCATGTCAAGATTGCGCTGGGACACGGGAAGAGGCTGTATCGGCTACAGAGCCGCGACGTGATGGCGGACTCTGGGGACCACCGCAGCGGATGTGTATTTGCAGAGATCAAGGACCTTCAGGCTGGGCAGTACACGGTCATTTGCTCACTTTTCGAGGCCGGGCTGACGGGGGACTATACGCTGCGAATTGATAGCACGAGTGAGATGGATTTGAAACCGATTCCGCGTGACGGAGCGGGATTGCTGTCGATGAAACTGGCGCCGGCATGCTTTGGGGCGGATGTGCACAAGGTGGCAGCGCCACTGCAGCCGTATCGGCTGGCGTCATACACGATCATTGCGCGCTTCTCCAAGGCGATGAGCCCTCGTGGGATGACGGATTTGGGCAAGCTAGCGCGCAGCCCGCTGCGGCTCAGCGTTGAACTGGGACGGGGTCCAGAGCGCAAATTCATAGTGGCTAGCGAGCAGGGGGAGTATGCGGATTCTGCCACGGTTCGGTCCGAAAGCGTCAACATTGATCCGAAGCTCAGCAGGCAGGGGGATATCTGGCTTGTTCTGGACAGGCTGTCGGGGCCTAGGGGGCCCGTCGAGGAGTGGTACGAGGTGGAGATGTACATGGACACGCCCAAGGCATGCGAGATTGGGGTTTGGCGCAACTGGGACGATTGAGGCGGTGACTCTGCACAGGCGTTGCAGGCGGATGATCATTTGCCTTGTCGATCATAGCGATCAGGCCTTGGGTGGTGTGCGCGGTGTAGGGGCACATGGGGGGGGGGGGCAGCACAGGCACCGGATGTTGGGTTTGGGATGGCGGGGGTCAGTGGGAAGGCAACGTGGAGGGTAATGTCGCAGGCGCCTCATGCAAGCGGGACGACGCCACAGCATGGTGAAACATGGTAGAGACTCGTGGGCGGCCAGCCTGGATCCAATCAAGGGCGGCACGATCTGACAATGCATGTTCCTATTGCGTGTTTCGCCTTGCAGCAGATGCACATGACGGGGCTGGAGGCGACGATAACGGCACGCTAGTAGGGCAGCTGCAGCTGGTAGTAGCGATGGAGGCCACGGGCGGCGGCAGTGGAAGAAGAGGCCATGCGTGAGGAGGGAGCGCGTGGTGTAGATGGTGTAGACAAAGCGTGATGGTGGTGATGGTGGTGGTGGTGGTAGTGGTGGTGGTGGTGTAGACTGTGGCTGGCCGGGCCCCATTCCCTCGCATGCCATTCCCTCGCCCGCTTACCCCGCCGAGCAAGGTTCACGGCCATCGGCAGCGCTACGTCAGTACTTCCGCGCGCGCTAGCACCCAGACCATGCACCGAAAAGCGCACCGCCTCTACATCGACTTGACGCCATCACCGACTCTTCTCCACATCCCCGTCTATCCTCCTACTGCCCGCCCTCCCCATCTGCCCTGCGACTCCCCTCGTCGTCCTCCATGGCCGACCTTGCCCCCGACCACGCCCACGCCGCCTCGGCTCCCGTGTCGACGCTCAACTCGGCCAATAATTCACGCGCCGCCACGCCTGCCAGCGTCGGCGCTGAGAAGGCGCCCGATGACAGCTCCAAGTTCAAGACCTTCTTGGGCATCCTGAGGAGGTAACGTTGCACCGCCTTGCTCCACATCCGCACGCCCAGAGAGCCGCCTGCTGAGACGGCGGCAGCACCGCCAGGCTTGGACACACAGAGGCTAACAGGCGCTTCGTCTCGCAGGTTCATTGGCGTCTCCGACCTCGCTGCCGTTCGATTCTCGCTGCCTGCACAACTCCTCGAGCCGCGACCAAACCTGGGTACGTTGAAGCGATGCCGCCTCGCGACAGTGGCAACAAGACGCGCTACGACGCCCTCTGACACATCGCAGAGTACTGGCACTATCTGGACAGGCCCGATACCTTTATCAGGTCAGTACAGCCGCCGCCTACATGCGAGGCGAGACGACTGACTTGCGCAGCATCGGAGACTCGGACGACGATCTTGGGCGCATGCTGGGATGCCTGCGCTTCTGGTTCACAAAGGACTTGGTAGGCTGCCTGTACAAACCTCCACGACACGTCTAATATGGGCACAGAAATACGTCAAGGGCAAGCCATGCAAGCCCTACAACTCGACTCTGGGCGAGTTCTTCAGGGTATGCATCCTCACGGAAAAGCATGGGCTGCTTGCTGACCTGCGTAGTGTAACTGGAAAATCGAAGACACGCATCCGACCCTCAAGACGCCCACATCGGCACCATCGAGCGCCGCCAGCAGCACCAAAGGCAACGGAAAGACAGTAACGGTCTCCTACCTCACCGAGCAGACATCGCACCACCCCCCTGTTTCAGCCTTCTACGTCGACTGCCCCGAGAAGGGCATTAGTGCACGAGGCTACGATCAGCTAAGCGCCAAGTTTACCGGCACCAGCGTGCGTGTCGTGGCCGGAGCTCACAATTTGGGAATCTTCATCACCCTGAAGAACCGCGATAACGAAGAATACCAACTCACACACCCAGCAGCTTACCTGGGAGGCATACTACGGGGTATGTACTAGCGCCCACTAGTTGGGCACATGGCTGACTAAACAGGCTCCCTCAACGTGTCTGTTGCCGATAGTTGCTACATCACCTGTCCAAAGACTGGACTAAAGGTCATTCTCGAGTACCAGGAGGAGGGCTGGCTCGGTCGGACGCAGAACAAAGTCAATGGAGTCATCTTCAAGTATGACCCCAAGAACGACACCATAACCAAGATCAAGGATGTTTCAGACAAAGACGTCCTGGGACGGATAGAAGGAAGTTGGCAAGATAAGGTGTACTACACCCTCGGTAGCAAGCCCTTTTCCAAAGTTTCTGTAAGTACTCTCGAACCCTGTTTGGTTGTCACTCTAACAATTGGCAGGAAAAGAACCTCATCATCGACCTCAACCCGCTCGATCCCGTCCCCAAGATTATCCCGCCGATCGAGAAGCAGCTCCCCAACGAGTCTCTGAAATTCTGGGAGAGCGTAACAAATGCCATAGTAGGCAAACAATACAGCATGGCCACCACACTAAAGACGGAGATTGAAGAGAAGCAACGGGCAAAGGCTGCCGAACGCAAGGCTGCCGACAAGGAGTGGCAGCCGCGATTCTTCACCGGAGCCGTCACTCCCATCGGTAGACCGGATCTTACCAAGGACGGCGAAGAGGCGCTCAAGGGACTCCATGAGGAAAACTATGAGCTACCTCCGAGCCAAGAATACGGTGCTTTCTAAACCACGTGCGCAAGAAAGCGTGTACCAACGCATTTGGGCGCGGCGAGCGCGAACTGGACCTTCATACGACATCCGCTACTTTATTTAACATGGCCGAGGACGAACAAGCCACCTTCGTTTGGCATTTGACCCAACATATCGAGAACGTTCTTTGTTGATTAGAGAGGAGCATGATTTTGTTCGATGGCGTTCAGTACATATGTACCTGGGGGAGTTTGAGATAATGTGTCTTTTGTCACGATTATTCATGAATAGATATCTAGACTGCCTGCCTGATGGCTTTGCCGTCATGCCCCTGAATGGGTGCTTAACCAAGAAACAGTACCAAAGCAGCAATTTTCCACAAGCAACTCTAGATTCCGTGCACTAGGATTACAAGTGTCTAGTGAATTTGATTGATGGTGAGAATTCATAGCCCTACCGTCTCTATTAATTACTCCCCAACTCTACTCTATCCCCCTTCTCATCTCTTCCACCTCCCGCCTCTTCCTACTCTCTCAACACCCAATCTCAACCCCAACATCATCAATCTCCACACTCCACCCCCCATCCGTCACCCCTTTCCCAACCACACTAACCACAACCGTATGCCCAACTCCCTCCCCAGCACCCTCCCCAACCCTCACCTTCTTCGCGCCCTCACCCCCTCCCACCCTCACCCATCCATCCGTCTCGCCCACCCAAACCGGGCCCGCACAACTCTCAGCATCCAAAAAAAGCTCTACCCGCGTCTCCCCGCTCGCCCGCCGACTCTTAATCCACGCCGAGCACCCGGCCGTCGCGCCCGCCGCAATCTCAAGATACGACTGCGACACCGCTAGTGCGGATTGGATGTCGGCGCTCCCGTTGCAGTGCGCCGTGTAGCGTGCGGATCCCGTGTGCCCACCTGGAGATGCGGTCGAGATGCCGCGGGTGGAGAAGGAGCCGCTGGCGAGCGAGAGCCAGGGGGTTAGGGTTCCGGATTCGAAGGACGGGTTGGAGAGGATGTTTGTGCATGTCGCGGTGTTGGTGGCGGTGTTGGTGGCGGTGTTGGGAGATGGAGATGGAGATGCGGTTGTGAGGGCGAGGAGGGGGAGACAGTGGAGGAGCATGTGGAGGAGGTGTGGAGATTTCTTCTGTGCCATTTTTTTATTTGCTGTTGTTTTGGTGTTGTTTGTTGTAGCTCTGATAGATTTCCCAGTCCTTCTTTTTTTTTGGGGGTATGTTCTGTGCGGATTGAGTTTGAGTTTAAGTTTCGAGTTGTACCCGATATTTGCTTTCCAAAACGAAGAAGAAGAATCAGTCGAGTAATCTCAGGAAATCAAATATGTGGTTATTCTGAGCAAAGTCGGTGTAAGACGGGGGGTTCTTTTTTTTTCAGCTGTCGTTGTGGTGGTGGTGGTTTTGGTGGTTTAGCCGAGTCTGCTGACGCCGTCAGGTGCAGTGTGAAACTGACGTTTGCGTTTGTGAACGCTGTCAGCTTCTTCTCTTTCACCTTTTCTCTCTCTCTCTCTCTCTCTTTTCTCGCTAGACTGCGACTGATGCTTGCGTCCAGGGATCCAGCTGACCCGGGTGTCGTGTCGGATGGATGTATGTATGTGTGTGGGTGTATGACGCGAGACGGGACGCAAGGGTTGTGATTAAGGTTCGTGTGGTGTAAAGTTGTAGTGTAGTGTGGTTTGTGTTGTGTTGTTATGAGTGTAGTCGGGGAAACGAGTCTCGTTGGATGTATTGGAGATTTCAGTCTCGAGGGAGAAAGAGAGTGAGTGAGTGAGCCGTTCGTTTGTTAGCCGTTCGTTTTGTTCGTCGTACTACACCCAGGTTGGTGAAGGCTCGTTTGTTTGTTTTAGTTTCTGGTTACTGGCTAGCCTCCTTGATCTCGCCCGTACTTTATGTAGATAAACCTGTTTAGTTCATGTCACCAGGAACCTCCCCACCCCTTTTTTTTCTATTTCTTTCTCCTTCCTCTCCGATTCTGGTTTCTTGGTTTCCGCGCGAAGTGAAGGACGTGGAAAAGGGCGATTTCACACGCTCGAGTTGTGAAAGGGAAAGGCGAGATGGTGCGATGTAAGACGAGTGAATTTAGAGGAAAAAAAAAAGAAAATTAGATGATTAGTTTAGTACATGGCCTGTCCGGTATGGCATGTAAGACGCCAGGCAAGATCGCAAGCTGAAAGCTGAAACTGAACAGGGAAGCGGAAAAGAAGAGGGGAAAATGGAAGAAAGCTAGAAACGAAGAAGATGAAAAGAAAAAGGGTGGACGTCTACGTTGTACCCACATGTCATGTCTCTTCCTCTTTCTTTCTCTCTCTCTTTCTCCTTACCACACCCACACATCCTCCGTCTGTCTCCTATCTCCCTACCCACTTACTTACCTATCCACACAGAACACAACAAAGCCCCCTAACACACACACACACACCGCCGCCGCCGCCTCATATCTGATCCGTGCCCTCGCACCATCTCCTACCTGCCTACCTACCTATCCCACCAAAAAGCCCCCTTTCTCCCCAACCCTGAAATAAAAAAAACCCCCGACGTACGTGCACCCACTCACACGCAAAACCCGTACTTCGCATACGACAGCCCGGAAAACAAGGAGGCTATGTAACGTGCGTTTTGAGCCAACATACAGCGTGGCAGCGAATAGGCAGTGGGAAACGGGGGTATATGGCTAGGGCGGGGCCGTGGGCGGTGCTAAGTGGTTGGCTAGCTGGGGTCTGACTAAGTAGGGCTGGGCGAATAAGCGAGATTGATTGCGTAGCGTATCAGTACACTTGTGTAGGGTGTGGCGGAGGTGAAGCTGTTTTGCCGTTCCAATCGGAGGATAGAGATGGGGAAAAGGGACGAGGGGAAGGAGGTGGCGTTGGAGGGGGAATAGCGACGTGTTTTAGATGTGCGGGAGTCGGAGATTTCGTGCTTTGTGGTGGTGGTGAGAAAAGCTCGGTTTTGACATGTGATTGGATGGCGGGGTGATGTGTTGGTTGGGATTGTGGGGTGCATAAGGGGGGGAGGCGAGCAACGGCGTGGAAAGGCTTCGGAGTGTAGGGTACAGAAGCAGACGGGGAAGGCCGGATACGTTTGAATATTAGAAAAAGGGGGGGCAGGAGATAAATAGGTCGTTTCCGGCTGTTTTTTTTGAAGCTACATGTTGGCTCTTGTCTGGTAAGTAAGAATCAGACGGGACGGTACAAACTCCGCGTGATGAGATAAAAATTCGTGCAACGAGTGTATTGCAAACAATTCTTCTTCAAAACTCCACCAAGGTATATAATATTTACAGTAAGAACATATGTACAGTTTTTTTCTCGTATCGCTCATACGACTGGTAGTTTGATGTCAGTCCAGGCGTAAATCGTATTCCACCCACGGACGGGCTTAGTAGGCGTTGGCAGACCACTGGTTAACAGTGAACTTGGCTGGGCCACCGGTGAAAGCCTCGGTACCGAATTGGTAGGCTGCGATATGTTAGTGTCTGGATTACCATAACCAGTCGAAGCTACAAAACTTACTAATGAGGTTCTGGCTGGAAGCAGGGAAGCCCTTGTTGTTCTGGAGGTAGGTGAAGAAGTCCTTCATGCTGGCCTTGAAGTTGTAGATGGGGCCGGAAGGAGTGACGAAGCTGTACACCTTCATGGAGCCGTTGAGGCCGTAGAAGAGTTCCCAGGTATGTCCGGCGACGTTGACCATCCCTTGCGAGGATCCAATGGGGTACACATCGTACCTGGCGAGCCTGTACTTTGTTAGCATTGGAACAAATGACAGTATTTAACAGACTTACCAAACCATGAGCTCGTAGTCACCACTGCTGGTGTCATGGTTCACATTGGCAGATGTGAACAAATCATATGCAACATTGCAGCGAATGTTAGTCGTATCATAGACCCAGTAGGCCTCGGTCTCGAGGTTGCTGTACTGGGTGACGGGCTTCTTGGTGATCTGACGTCCAGAGTAGACGTAGCTCTTGACGTTGTCCTTGCCACCCTGCCACTGCCAGTTGGAGTGCCACTTGGCGCCAGTCGAGCTGACACTGTCGACATAAGTGCACTGAGAGCCAGAGGTGGCGGAGCCGCGGCCCCAGATGTTGTTGTTGAGCTCGTAGCCGTTGCTGGAAAAGTACTGGAAGTCCTGGCAGAGAGTGGCTTGCTGTGCAACTCCCACGGAGGCGAGAGCACCAAGGATGAGAGATACGACCTTCATGATGGGCGAGTGGTAGAGGACTGGCTGGTGGAGAGGGAGTATGTTGCTGTGGATGCCATTTTCACCGTCGGTTGCCCAACCTTTTGTATTGATGCCATCGCAGCATCCATTACTCGAAGCTGCATTGCCTATCCTCTTTACGACTTTAGACGGTGGGGAATATTTGAGTGGGTCCTCATATATTCCAGTGTTCGTTCAGGCGCGAAGCGTCCCTAGATTCCGGCTGACCATGCCAAACGCTCGCTGCCAGCGACATGGGAAAGAGTACTCACGTGAAGTGGTTCAGGCCGGAGGATCTAATTTTCATCGCCAATCCGATGGCCTCGAGCAGCCCCATTGTACTAATTGTGGGTATCGGCGAATTTGCCTCCACACGAATGCACCCACGGAAATTGCTATCTGTAACCTGGATATCTGCCGTGGTCTTTTCCCGATCACCGGGGCACGGATAGGATGTGGCAGGATTCCCCGTGGAGTGAACCATGTCGCATGCAGCCTTGTCTACGTCGAGCGTCGAACGGTTGCTCGTTGTGCGGGACTGGAGCCCATGGAGCACGAGTCAGGCACCGTCAGCCATGGACATCTGACGCCTTTGGACGTGCAAGAGTCATGCAGCTGGGCGTTCAAAGTTTGATGGACCGGAAGCGTACCCGATATTCCTGTTTTCCATGGCAGTTCCATGTCAGTGAGAAACGGGCTCGTGGTGAAACAACGACCAGGGAGTCGGCTTTGGTTCTTCTTTTGTGGAAGAATGCATGGATGCGGAAGGCGGAAAACACGTGCCAATATTCTAGAAGGTCGGACAAAGTGGCAGGCGACTCTCATTGGCAGTGGCAGAGACAAGCAGGACGGAGAAGATGATCAGCAGACGGTGGTGGTGGCAGAAAAAGGCAAAGCTGGGGTCGGCCGGCGTGTAAGCAAAAGGGACATGGGCGTACTGACGAATGCGGGGTTAGCCGTGAGCCGCACCGAGATCTACCCCAAGTACCGCTCGCTCGCACCACCCGCATGCACATGTCGTGTTTTCCTGCTGTCCTCCAGAGCATCCCGTAATTTCTCCGAATTGTTTTTCACCGTCACGTTTAGCCTGCGACTGAGAGAGGGGCGTCGAAGCCACAGCCCACTTTCGCCTGATTGCGCCGACACCACACCTCGTCCACATCCCCTGTCCTTCCACGCCCACGGTACTTGCCTTTGCCCGTCTTGGTCAAAGCTCCCGCCCGCTCCCTTGAAGTCGCAATATCGCTTCCGAGTATCCTACCACCATTTCCACCAGTCTGCTGATCGTGTCACCGTGTATTTCTTGGTATACCACTATTCCGTATCAGCAGCATGGGGTTGCTATCTTTCAGATCCTTCAGTGTAATTTCGCCCATCTATTCCAATCAAGCATGCAATATACTGCTGTGCGTTGTGATATGTGCTGCGTTAGTTTGTTGAAACCTCGGATAGAAACAAGTACTATACTCCTGTGAGTTCATTTCTTCAGGCATAGCAACCGTTTCCAGTGCAAACCTTGTCAATTCAAAGAGGGACACAGCTCCGTGTGCTGGCAGAGTAGTTCTGTGGATACCAGCTCCCCAAGCCGTGTATCAATAGTTTATGTCTTACTTTCTCCACCATATGCTTTCTTGTTGGGCAAATCACGAGTCAAAACTATTACCTACAATGAATCGTGCCTACATACTCCATGTAAGACCCGAATACCGAACAAGGCAAGTTTCCAGGTCTTCCGGCGTACAATGGGGAAACCTGACTAGTGCTGTCTAGCTGCCTTAGCTGGGCCTCTACCGTTTTGGCTGTCCGTCGGTCCTTTAGTTTCCGCTAAGCCTTATACTAAACAGGATTCCATATATATAGCAGCAAGTTATTAAGTGTCACGAATCTTAACTCGACGTCTGCTGTTGCAACACCATCACGACCTTTGCAGTGCCGTTGGGTCCACTGCTCTTCTACCACGCCATCTCAAGCTTCCCCTCCTTGCTTCCACCGAAAACAGAATCATTTCTCGTAATCTCGACACTTACCTTCGTTATCTGCATCGAATTTGCGAAACTCGTTGAGACAATGGTGGAGAAAGCATAGTGTTTCGCAGCCAACTCCTCAGCCTTTGCATCTAGTATGGAAATAATTCGTCCGCTCGGTGATATGCAACAAAGTGTTTATTTATTTCTACTTATAGTTCAAACAAGCGTCATAGATGAGCTTGGCTTGAGCAAGGCATCATCTTGCCTGCCAATTTGGATATCCAAGTGCTCAAAAGAGCTTGAGCATCATTAACTACGTTTCACGTACACATCCAGATGCTAGTATGAATGGATGGATACATTAATTCAAGGCCGCGGATGTGTGCCATGTTTCAAATAACGGCCTGCGCATCGGGTCATGACTTGTCATGATTTCACGGGTACCGCATTGCAACACACTTTCAGTCATTCTCTCAATATGGATGCTGCCTGCTAACATCGTACGGGACTTTCGGGTGTGCTTTACCGCCTTGAGTACCTTAAGCAGCAGTCCCTTAATGTCAGTGCGCAGACTTGAACCATCTCCCTATTGAACGGATGAACCCTGGCTGAGCCCGACGTGTGAGCATTCGAATACTTGAAAGTACTCAGCGCCCAAGCTCGAGAAATTCGTAACACAGAGAGGCAAGAATTCGTTTTCGGGGAAACAAATGCGCAGTGTAATGTCGCACAGGACGCGGTCGCCAAATTCTTGGTCCGGAAACGCCGTGTTTAATCTCTAATGTCCACATCGGCTTCAAGACATCTCATGAGAAAGTGGTGTGACTCTGGAAGGAATGATTACCCCTACCAGAATCCGCAAACTGAACCGACTGTTCGGTATTCCGATCCACATGTTTCTCGAAGGAACATAATGACTGAAACTCGTGGGGCGATCCTGCACCAGCTTCCCCAGACTATATGTATCCATCGTGTTTGCAAAGGAATGCCTAGTCCTTCTAAGCTTTCAGCGCCAAACAGTACTTCTTCTCCATTGATACAAGTATTCTGTACACTCGCAAACAATTCCGCATCGACAGCCGTGTCGCGGCAGCGAGGAACAGCGAGCACAATTTATACAGTACATATCCTGTCTATCAATGACAAATAGATAATATCTCGTCAATTATATGCCTCGTCCAATCTCACGCCCCCCCTCTCTTAATTAGCACCAAGTCCGCTAAAATAATACCAAGACTCCGAGCCAAGACAAATAAAGCATTCATCACGGAGCTCCGTTCTCGCGTGGGCAGCGCACGGGCCATTGAAACAAACCATCGTAATTTGAAACACTGTCAAAGTGTCAAAGTGAAACACAACACACGTTGACTCCTGAAAGCCTATTTGCCCTCCCACTTACGCGAGGGGGGAGGCGCCAACCCTACTTGGAGCTGCGATCGATCACGGCAATTGCCAAGGCATAAACCGTGCCGCACGATCAAGGCATCACTACTAACCACGAAACCCGGTGGCACGCTCTCCGACGCGGCAAAACGGGATTGAGCACATTCATATCCACTCTAGATTCAAACAGTATAAACAGGCGTGTATCCTGTGTTTTTTTTTTCTTCTTTTTTTGCAGTCCGTACAAATACCAGTGGAGAGATAGACTCGCGCGGTACTTGGGGTCACCGACTGCCCTGCGAATCGACCGAGGTAGATCTATCTCGCTGCGGCTCTTCTCGCTCATTTCCACTGCATGCAAGGCACCCGCGGGAACGCCAAAAGCCTATTATTGACGCCGTTAGCCCGAAAACATCACGGATGACCAGAACACATGGTGCTGTCAGCCACACTGACCCCCGAGATGACTTGTGTTTTGAACCACCAACGTTTCTCCGCCCACCTACCCGCCACCTCCCATCTTATCTCAGCTGTTATGGTCCGAGTTAAAAATAAAACAATGCAAAGGCTTGTTTATGCAAAAAGGTAAAAAAGACTTGGTTGACAATTACTCTTTTCTACAGTGCTACTACTACTACTACTACTACTACTACTAGATGAGAGAGAAGAAGAGGAAAGAAAAAAAACATTACGCGTATGGCTATAGTAGCAATTAGGACAAGACCTTTAACTGGCGAGGATGAGTACAAGGGGGGTTTCTCACATATGCAAAACGGCATGTCAGAACTAGTCCTACATCTAGATACACAACCTGCAGCTATAACCCAACGCCCTTAGTCGAGCTGCATATTTCCCACCTACCCCCGCTGCTATTATATAGCCAAGAAGGATAAAAGAGAAGGAATCTAAAAAATAAACCGAGAGAAAGACAGACAGACGCACAGAGAGAGATAGGGAGAGAGAGAGAGAGATATTTGTTTTCAACCTCGCCTCCCCTTCCCCTCCTACCAAAACATGCGTTGGGCACCTAGACCCGATCGCTGTAGGGAACAACAGCAGCAACCACCACGAGCACTTCACCACCACGTGTGCCACAGACAGATTTTCCCGCCGAGACGGAGCAACGCAGTCTTGGCTTCATCTGCCACTCTCTGACCCGCCCAGGGCGCATCTCTCCAGCCGTCAGCCCGCCCCGCTGCGCCCTAGCCCTAGCCCGATTCGAGCACGACTACAAGGCCTACTGGGCCAGTGAGAACACACAACGGGGAAGGCCAAAGCATGTGTGCTGCGCGCCCGTCCGCCCAGTCCTGTGCGCGTGCGTTTATCTGCTTGTATTGGCGAGGTAGGTAAGAAAGAGAGAAGGGGGGGGGAGGGGTGTGCAAAGCGCTAGTATGTTAGTTGCCAAGCGAGATGGGTGATCGTCCAGAGAAGCACCGCGCCCGGTACGAAAGGTACATTGGTGGATTATATCCATTAGCGAAGAAGATATTCGGGGGGGAGGGGAACAGGTATAAAAGATGACAGATCCCGCTGCGTACGTAGAGAGAAGAAAGAGGCAAGCTTGACGCTGTACACTCATTCTCCCTACATTCTTTTTTTTTCCATTGCAATTCAGTCTTTTGGACTTTGTCGCTCTCTCCATCTCCATCTCTCTCTCTCTCTCTATTTGCTTCTGGCATACTTTGGCCCTTCACTTTACACAAAGTTCGCTTCTGCTTCACAAACACAAACACTCAAAGTCTCATAACTTGATCAATCACTCTACTTTCTACAATGAAGACGTCCTTGTTTGCGCTCAGCCTGGCTGGTGCCGCTAGTGCGCACACGACCGTCTGGAACATCTTGGTCGCTGGCGTGGACCAAGGTAGGGGCAACATCCAAGGCGGATACATCGACTCGCCGCCCAACAACTCGCCCGTCGTCGATGTCACATCCAAGAACATGGAATGCAATGTTCCCAACATCAAGGCAGCCAAGGCGGTGGATGCCAACGCTGGTGATGAAATTATTGTAAGTTGGTTTTGATATCTAGGATGCAGGACTGCCCTGACATGTACTGCGTCTAGGTCCAATGGTACCACGACAACGCTTCCCCTTCCGACGACATCGTTGCCGACTCCCACCACGGCCCCATCAGCATGTACACGTCGAAGGCTGGTGATACCCTGTCATGGGTTAAGATTGCAGAGGATGGTTGGGACGGCACGTCCTGGGCTGTTGACAAGCTCCGCCAGGGCACCTACACTGGAACGAAAGGACAGCACAAGTTCAAGATCCCTATGCTCAAGAAGGGATCGTACGTCTTCCGTCCCGAGATCATCGCTCTGCACGAGGGCAACAGGGTTGGTGGTGCTCAGTTCTACATGGAGTGTGTAAGTCGAAACTCGGTCCTTTATCTGCCATAATGCCCCCAGCAACACACACTGACTTGAGATGACCCCAGATTCACATCAATGTCGGCGGATCCGGCACTCTTGATCTTCCCGATGGTGTCGCCATCCCGGGTTACGTGACCGCCAACACACCCGGTGTGCTCTTTGACATCTACAATGGATTCAAGAGCTACCCAATTCCTGGTCCCAAGCTGTGGGACGGAGCCAGCGGCTCTGGGGGTTCTAGTTCTGGCGGCTCTAGTTCTGGCGGCTCTAGCTCTGGTTCTGGCGGCTCCAGCTCTGGTTCTGGCGGCTCCAGCTCTGGTTCTGGCGGCTCCAGCTCTGGTTCTGGAGGCTCTGGCTCTGGCGGCTCCAGCTCTGGTTCTGGAGGCTCTGGCTCTGGCGGCTCTAGCTCTGGTTCTGGCGGCTCTGGCTCTGGCTCTGGCTCTGGAGGATCTAGCTCTGGAGGCTCTGGTTCTGGAGGCTCTGGTAATGCTCCGGCACCTTCTCCTACTCCTGTCTATGATCCCGCTCCTGGGAACAAGCCCGCGCCCACCACCTTTTCAATTAGCTGCAGGCCTGCTCCTACTCCAGCCGGAGGTTCATTCCCAGGAGGTTCATTCCCAGGAGGTTCATTCCCAGGAGGTTCAGGTCCAGGAGGTTCAGGTCCAGCCGGAGGTTCATTCCCAGGAGGCTCATTCCCAGGCGGTTCATTCCCAGGAGGTTCATTCCCAGCCGGAGGTTCAGTCCAAGCACAAAATGACGCTCAAGCCGGAGGCTCAGCTCCCAAGTGGGGTCGATGCGGTGGAATCGGCTACACAGGCCCGACTGCGTGCTCCTCGGGCGCCCAGTGTGTCAAGCAAAACGACTGGTACTGGCAATGCTTGTAAGCCCCAGGTGGATGATGACGATGGCGGAAGGGCATGGTAGAAAAAAAGGCCGCGGTTAGCATCGGACAGTGGTGTTTGTGGGTTTGCAGATGTGGAGAAGAAGTGGCTTGTGGAACTTGTGGAACTTTGTGAGGGCATTTCTCCCCTTTGCTTCTTAGTGTGCAGAGGGGCTTGGCTTTGCGTGCAAGCTGGCTTGAGCACCGCCCGCCCACCGGTGTTGTTGTTGTTGTTTTTTCGATTCTTCTTGTACATATACGTAATCGCCACGACGAATTGGATGAAAATGCCTCTTCGGCTTCGACGCTCGCCTCACCGTGTTAGTGTGTACCCACCTCTTGCAACTCGAGCCTCGTCAGGGGCCTACGTGTCTGGAGGGCCCATCTGCCACGCTCTGCCGCTAGGTCTTACCGTCAGCCCAGCCGGCCGGCTGATCTGGCGAGGGCCTGGGAGCTGCCAGAGCGAGGGCGAGTACATGTCGCGGAGCAGTCACAGAGCAAGGTGGAACAAGAGGCGTAGCATGAGCGTTGGGCGCTGGCGTCGGGGCGGGCGAGGGAGAAGATGGAAGCAGCCTAGACCGGACCGGGGAGGGGGTGGAGGAGCATCGGGACCAGGCCTGGGACGTGGACGACTCGCGTGGGTGACTAAGCCGAGTCTATCCGCCGGCCCCGGCCTGCATCCCCAACATTTGTGCGCCGACACTCGGGGAACCCTACTCAACACATGCATACGTCTGACAACTCATAACGCAACAGCGCATCGTGCCTTTTTGCTCCTTCATATTTCTGATGCTCGCCCGCCCACCCGTCACCACACACACACTGCCACTATGATAGCCCCTTCCAGCGCCTGGGTCCGCGTCGGCCTGAGGCGCATCCCAAATGCCTCATCTCGCAACACAAACACTGGAAACACATGCAACCTCGAGCGCGCCTGCCTGCGACTGCGCCTTTCGAATGCCTCCCGCCGATACAATAGCACCAACCCGGAGGGCGCTCAGGGTGCCTCTGGCGCGGCGCGCACCATTCCCGGGCCCAGCTGGCTGTGGCTCGATCCCATCGTGGAGCCGTTCCGGGCATATGGTCGCGTGCAGCAGAGGCGGCCATACATGACACAACTGGTCTCCTCGCTGATCATATACTTCATCGGCGACTGCGTGGCACAAAGCATCACCCAACCCGAGCCTTCTGCCCAGCAACCCGAACCTGCCGAAGACGATGCCGACGAGAAGGGCTGGGTCCAGAAATGGAGCGACGAGCGTGACTGGGCTCGCACAGGGCGAGCCCTTGTCATTGGAGGACTGAGTGCCATTCCATCGTACAAGTGGTTCCTGTGGTTGTCCAAGAGCTTCAACTACCAGTCCAAGATTCTCTCCCTATCCACAAAGGTACGGCCCCTTCTCTTGCGCATTCTGTACAGCGCATGCTAACAGTATGCCAGGTCTTCGTAAACCAAGCACTCTTCACCCCGCTGTTCAACTCGTACTTCTTCGGCATGCAGACGCTCCTCTCGGGTGCATCCTTCTCCGAAATCATCGAGCGCATCCGCAACACCGTGCCAACAAGTTGGTGGAACAGCTGCAAGGTCTGGCCCGCAGTGACGGCTTTCAGCTTCACCTACGTGCCAATCCAGTACAGAAGCATCTTCAGCGGTGTTGTCGCCATTGGCTGGCAGACGTACCTGAACCTGCTCAACCAACACGCCGCTGCCGAGGAGGGGATGCAGCATGCTGCAGGACACGTCGCACCAGTCAACATCAGGACAGTACACGCCCATGCCGAGGGTGGTCAGGGCATGCAGAAATGCGCTGCCTAGATGTGTTGCTGTCAGAGAGCCACGTCAAAGGCATGTGGGCCTGCTGGACCGAATCCGTTGCGCAACCCAGACCCCATTACATTCCTTCGCTGACGTCAGTCAGTCGCCTCCTATTTTCCTTTTCTCTTTTTCGTTTGTTCAACCATGTCCCTTTTCAAGATCAGGGCCTTTTTGCATTATAGACTGGCGTTATACATTTGATACCACGAGCGCCGAGTAGAAGCGCCGACCTAGACACTGTTATATTACCAATTCTTTCACATTCCTCTCGTCTCTTATCTATTCTTTTACCGGCAGTCGGCAATTGGCTTTTCGACGTGCTTTGTGTTGATGCGACCGTCTGCTCAGCGTGTATGGAATACGGTGAAATCGTTTCGCATCTTCTTGCTTCTTGCGGCTCCTCAGGTATGTGTGCTCGTTAGGCGAAGAAGCCAATTTTGAGGCTTCATAAATCTATTGCCTGTAGAATATGGCGTCTACACAAGTAGTAATTGTTCAAACAACCCATCATGTGCCTGGCTCATTCTTGTTCAATCTCCGATTCATACGTCGTTCCCACAATGTGTCGCAATCACATCGACGGTCTTTGTGGGGGCCGATGGTGGGTGTGTCGGGTGGCGGGCCTGCCGCACGTTGCTTTCGCTTGCATCTTCGCTTGCAACTTCGTCTCCGGCTCTGGAAGCTTTCAGGGGCAAATTACTTGCCCCTGGAATCACTGGGGTAACCGGCCATGCCCAGTCTGTCGAGGCTCCACGATATCGTATTTCGAGGGTGTTCATGTAGCGCTGGCTTTCGGTTGTTGTTGAGCTCACTCAGGTCCAGATTCATCTCCTTCTTGCATAATGGCCTCGCACTGTTCCCTAATCTCTTGTACACCAGCAACGCCTTTCCACTTGTCCAGTATCGTGCTGATTTCTTCCCAATCCTTTTCCGCTTCCTCCTGACGCTCCTGGTCCATCATCGTTTGCAGTCGTCTTGGTGTATCGAGTACCCACCTCACAGTGTCTTGCTGCTTTCGCTTCTTTTCAGCCTCTTCTTTTTCTGGTCCGTTTTGCTCCATGCTTATACTGAGCCCCAGGCCCTCCTCTTTCGTGACATGGTTATCGTGTAATGACGACGACAGGGAAGCGGCCGTTTCCGCAATGTGCGATATGGCAGGGCCGAGCGTGTGTGTTGTGGGTGCAAGAGGATCCATGTTACCGCGCATGCGGCGAATAGTGCTGGTGGCAGAGAGAAGTTTGGAGTAGTTGTCGTAGACGAGGGACTTTCTGTCGCTGTCTAGATTTCGAATCTCTGCACCGCCGTCAGTCATGCCTATCCTTGTCTCTGTAGACCATCAGCAGCGTACGCGATACCAGGTCAGCCTCGACCTTGAGTACACCCTTCAGCCCCTCCTTTGCTAGCAGGCTCTCGACATAGGCCTCGGCGTTGAAGTCGGAGGCGTCCAGTTCCGTCAGCGTCTCATCTTCCTCCGGTCCGAGCTGATTTGTGGCGGTTCCCTCGGATGTCTTTGCGTCATGGTTTATATCTTTGGGGGGCGTCTTGATGCCATAAAATTCGCGGAGGGCGGCGCGGTTGCGACGGGCAGGCGGTTGAGATGGGCGGTGCGAGGAGCTGCTGTCGACCGAGGTGCGCGTCAAAGACGGACTGCGAACTGAGGTGCTCGGGCGGGGAGAGGCTATTGTCGACATGTTGGTGCTGCTGTGCCTGGATTGTGGGTAGGTGGTGTTGAGAGGGGAAGCTTGAGCTTCATGTGAAAGGGCCGAGGCCACCATTTCGTGAACGAGGGCCCCACGTCATTCCTCTACGCGTCGCGTCTGTCTGCCGCGCACCACACATGACTTTTCACTCTCAGTGCATAGACTTTCCAATTGCACACAAATTGCTGCAGCCCCATTCTCATCATGGCGGCTAATATTGCAGCTGAACTGACACATCACCTCAATGCCCGGCATCTCCACCCCACAGCAGCATGGCTCGAGAGCTTCCTTTCTACGACACGGCCAAACACTCCACTACCCGCCATCAAGCAAACATCGCTGTTCCGCCTGCTGGCCAGCGATATCACTACCTCACTTAATCAGCCAGCTACCTCAGTATTCCCCAGCGACATACTCAATGGAACAATGCCAACCCGCATTATCCCCGGCCCAGTCGTCTGCCAGGTGCTTGACATTGAAGATATCGGGCACTCGCGCTGGTCGCAAGTAGAATCAATCGAGGCGAAAGAGCGAGGCGAGATGACCAAAGGAAGGGAAATCGTGCGTGTAGTGGAGCAAGAGAACGAGACCGCTGCCGAGGCTGCTGCGGCTGTGCAGAGTAAAGGCCCGTTCAAGCTCTTACTCCAGGATGCCAAAGCCCTCAAAATCTATGCTCTGGATCTGAGAGGCATCGACGGCCTCAACACCAACATGACCATGGGTTTGAAGCTACTTCTAAAGAATACCGACGTAAGAAGAGGCGTAGCTATGCTGGAACCGGGCAATGTTCAGATTTTGGGTGGGAAGCTCGAGGCCCTCGATAAGGCTTGGAAGGAGGGGCGAAAAGAGAGGCTGAAGGCTGCAGCCAATTCGCCAGGACAAAATGCGGGGTGATAAGGCTGCAAAGACTACGACTTCTTTCTTTCGGCAACAGCATCGGCGTGATGAAAACAACATGTCAAGCATGTTCTGCGAAACGTGCATCGGTGTCCTGCGCCACCATCGTCACGTTATCGGTTCTCCAACAAGATCAAGCAAGTTGGACTGTGCAAGCAAGACCCAACCATATGTGGAGGTAGATACCCAATACAAACGGCTGAGACGGGAGGATTGACAAGTTAATCAGTCCGGTCATCATTGGACATACGAGTCGCTCATTGCGGCAGCAGCTAGCGGGTGTCCTGTCTGCCGGCCAACTTGGGAGAACTTGTCTGGTCCTCAACAGGACTTAGTGCGTGCTTCTAGACCCAAAGATAATGCAAAACCGATGGCGGATGCTTCACCATTAGAACTCATCACTTCTGCAAAGCTGGCGCGTTGGGTCGATCCAGAAATGTACTCTTTTACTATCAGATATAACCCGGAACTGTTCCCGGGCCTCGTACACCGATATGGCTTATTCATTCTAACAAAAGAAGATGGTTTGTCTCTCCTTTTCAAAACAGTTTCACATGCTTATTCATGTACAGTATGCAAATTACCCCAGGATATTCACACAAAAGGCCACTTTACCACTGATCACACTTGCTCGCATGAATCTCTGCAGACAGCGGCTACGTGGCTGCGAGCCTGTGTTCAGTCTCATACACAATGTAATGCCCTTGAATACAGCGAATCGTGGTATCCAACGCGTCTCTTGTATCTAGATGAATCCGATGGGAACAAAGATTATGTCCGTCTCATACGCACAGCAGAGCAGCGGCCTGATGGACCTTATGCTACTTTGAGTCATCGCTGGGGTAATGCGAGGCCTTTGCAGCTTACATATTCAATGGCATCCGACCCCAATCACCAATTCTCAATGGCTAGCATGCCGAAGACGTTTAGAGAAGCCATACAAGCGTCCAGAAGACTGGGGATTCAGTACTTGTGGATCGATTCTCTATGCATTATCCAAGAGGGCGACGATCGCCGCGACTGGTATCATGAAGCAGGGCTGATGAACAAGGTATACATGCATTCCTACATCAACATCTCAGCAGCAGATGCCGAGGACAGCACAAAGGGTCTTTTCCGAAGCCGTCTTCCGCTACTTGTGGGTCGTCACCGCGTTACGGTCAAGACAAACACCCTCGGGCCAGACGCAGAGCTTGTTGACTGTCTAATGACGGACTTCCTGCTCTGGCGACGCACAATGGAAACTTCTCCACTGAACAACCGCGGCTGGATTTTCCAGGAACGCTATCTTGCTCCGCGGGTCCTTTACTTCTGCCGGAATCAGCTTTTTTGGGAGTGCAAAGTGCACACGGTATGTGAGACTTTTCCCACGGGGCTTCCAAGTATAGGTTGGAACTTTGGCAATGTATCCGTCAAGACGTGGGAACGGCAACATGGTATTATGCCACCAGGTGTCCGCGACGATTCCTGGATACGCTTCTGGGACCAATCTATCGTGTTCCTGTATTCACGCATGGACTTGACGGTTCCAACCGACAGGCTGATTGCCCTCTCAGGCATAGCCAAATACTTCATGGCTCGTGTTCAGGATACATATGTTGCTGGCATGTGGCGCAGGCGTCTGGAAGAATCCCTACTCTGGTTTGTCGACCCAGGAAGCCCGGAGCCACGCACAAGGCCGCGTCCGACGCCATACCGCTCTCCGTCTTGGTCGTGGGCATCGGTGGATGGGACTATCATGCCCATCTGGCATTCCAAAGGCCGAGAAGGTATAATACATGTCGAGGATGTGGTACTGTCCTACGCGACTGACGATACGTTGGGCGCAGTTAGCGGTGGATGGCTAGACCTACGCGGCTCTCTCAAACCAATGAGGCTGTATGAAGATGAGGAGTGGGATGCAGCGTGGTGCATGGCCGTGGGCAATCCAGTCATTTCTGAAGGGCATGGTGTTATTCAAGAAAGCGCCTTTATGACTTTCAGCGTCTGGCTTGACGTCCTCCCGGGTGGTGCTTCAGCTCTGAACAGCCACAATGCGCAAGGGCATTACTTCTTCATGCCGTGTGATATCAAAGGAGAGGTGGCGGAAGAGGTTTGCTGTCTATTGTTCGAGCTCGTGGACAAGGAAAAGGTGTTATTCGAAAGAATTGGGAGTGTTTCCACTGCCCAGCCCGACGAGATTGAGCAACTGCTGGCGGATTTGGACGAAGAGACCAAGGCGCGTGTGCCGTGTCTGCAGTATCAAGACGGGCTGCACACCATCCGAGTCATCTAGACCGGGCCAAGGGCATTAGCCTGATTCTCAGCGGCCATGTGCGGTTCTCCAAGCAGGCCAGACTCGAGCGTGTCTTCTCCAGACGGAGCTGGACGGCGTGTGACTGGCACTTGGCCCAAGATGGCGCCGATGTTCAGGGTTCGCGTCTGCATCTGGGGCGCGGCCATGCGGGCAGAAGTGGGGCGAGCCGCGTACCGTAAGCCCCCCAGGTCAAAGGCGAAGTTCCAATCAACCAAGTATCCCAACACACAACCGCCATGTGCCCAGGCGGCCTGTCAGCCGGTGACGTAGTCCCACTGCAGATATATATTCTTGCAACCTTGTTCCCCGCGGGCTTGGGTCCAATACACTAGACCGGACGTTGGATTCTGTTCGACTACACTACCACTACCACTACCACTACCACTTCCTCCGAGGAAATCACACCCGCCATGGCACCGACCGACCATACTGCGCAGTTTCAGGGTATGCTTCTCTGGTCCTTTAACAATCTAGCCGACGGGACTAGACGGAGGCCATGGTGGCATGCTAGCTAATACGACATGGCAGAACCCCCCGTCGCAACCATGCCCGAAGCCACAAGCACCTCTACAATGCAACCCGACATCAGCCCCCAATTCCGCGGTCCGTCTTCCTTCCCTTTCCCCCCTCCTCATCCTACTCGGCATGCTCCCCCCGCAAGTCACCCGCCACCCCATGTCTATGTATATACTCACGCATACATTTTGATCCCCACAGAACCAATGGTCTCGGACTCCACCACCCCACCTCCAAACGCCTCCTCCTCCTCCTCCTCCTCCTCCTCGGACACTGACTCGGACCCCACGCTCCACAAAAGCACCACCTCCAAGCTCAAAGACGCACTCAAGAAACCTTTTACAGCATCTTCTTTTTCTACTTCTTCTTCTTCTTCTTCTTCTTCTTCTTCTTCTTCAGATGCTTCGTCGTCGGCATTGTCTTCAAGCCACAAGCTAGGCGAGCGCGAAATCACATCCCCGGAAATGGCAGCTGCAAAGGAAGTCCTTGTTGCCAAGCAACTAAAATAGTCGTAGTCGTAGTAATATTTGTTCGTATTCCATAGAATCCGGATTCAGCCTTGTATCTACGTTGGAAAGGGGCATGTGCGTGCGTGCGTGTGTGTGTGTGTGTGGAACAAAGAAAGACAGAAATGATAAATGAAATTATTAGCCCATTCTAGCCCAAGTCAAAACTAAACAAAAAAAAACCAAGGATACACACACACACACACACACACACACACACACACACGCACAAAAAAAAGGGGGGGGTGGACGAAGCGAAACAAGGACAAAGGAGGAGGCGCGGAGGCGCGGACGACGCGGACGACGCAGATTTGAATTGCCAAGCCGCAGTCCCAAGTCCCAAATTCTATAGCCAAGCAACGCGGTGCCTACTTATGTGTGTGTGTGTGTGTGAACAAGGAAAGGAAAAAAAATTAAAGTTTGCCCTTGCAACCCCCCCCCCTTCCATTCATTGCTACGACTACGACTACGACTACGACTACACACACCATCTATTTTATTTTGTTTTCTTACTCAAATACCAGCTACAGTAAATACTTAGACCCTGTACATTCATCTCTGGGGAAACTCTCACGTCTTGATATTTTCTCAGGAGGGGGGGGGTTTTTCTTTTTGAGGGCGCGTTTGTCATCGTACATACGCATACGTACGTAACATGTATAGTATATATATGCGCGTACTTGTACTTAACGTCTATATACCAAGTTAAGTATGTATACGGAGTTGATACCTGTTTCTGTGTGGTGTGTGTGTGTGTGTGTGTTGCGGCGCTGGCCGGGTGGGTACTTTGTGAAGAACGCGTCCGATTGATTGTTCCCGCTTTAATAAATGCCTGCGGTATAATAACAAAACCCCCAATAAAACCCTCCTCCCATCAGCATCCCTACCAAATGTCGACTGGGGGGGGGAGGTGTGTGTGTGTTTGTAGGATAAAGTTTTGGTCGTTATCTTACTTTCTTCGCGAGCGCTTAGGTATTGACATGGATACGTATATGCATATGGTATATGCATTAATGATAAGAGAATAATGCCCCTCCCCCCCCCGCCGTTCCGCCCCCTCAACAGATTGGTGTGCCTGTAATTTCGTCTATGGATGTTGGTGTCTTGGGGGCTGGTTAGGGGAGGTAGGGGTTGACCCTTGCACTTGTGCGATTTTGTGTGTGTGTGTACGGAGGTGCCTTTCTAAAGTATTGTCTGACGCTAATCTCGGCGCTTCGGCACAACTCTTCTTAGCGCAACTCCTACCTTAGAGTTAAGGTGTCAGACTGTTAGGGATTTTCTGATCAAGGACCCGTTTGGATCACTGTGATAAAAGACTGTGATAAACTTGATGGTAGAAACTAATTGTATTGATTGCTCTGCGCTCTGTTGTCTGTAGGGGCGCAAGGGCGCGCCCCTTATGAGAGCTATCGCTATTGCTTTTTGTATTAGGTAGGCCGCTAAGTATTAGCCTCGCCTAGAGTTAGGTCTTGGCAATCAGCCCTAATTGGTTAGGATCACAGAATCCTGGTGCTCGAGTCCACACCTAGATTCTGCCACTTATCTAACACACCCCCTTAGCTTAGAGCCAATTAGGATTACAAGCTAGACTATCAGTCAGTTAGATCGCTAGACGCTCAATTTGATCCTAGATCTCAAGCAGAGCCATTTTTTAGGTTGCTTCTTAAGTCTGGCTTTCTACTAGCCCTAGTTAAGTTAAAAATCGCTGCCACTAGTTTACTGGGAGAGCTTTGGTGAGTCTATCTACTATTATTTCTGTCGATTAGGTGTAGGTGACTTTAATCCGTCCGCTAGCGACTTCTTGCCTTAGCTAGTAATAGTGGATATCCACGTGTTAAAGCTTAGTTTAGAGTCTTAATATCTCCTAAGTAACTAGCTAGATAGTTTGTTAGTTATCGCACTAGATTTCGATCTAATCTAGTAGGTCAACTTTAAGTTCTTTAATTAGTCTTAATATAAAAATGGCTTCCTTAGCTACTTATAATAGTACCAAAAGCTTAGCCTTAGTAGTAGACGTAGTAACTATATCTTGCTTACTAGCTTACTAGGCGATAAGTCTGCTAAATAGCTTAATCGTGTAGCCTTAAGAGCTTTTACGATCTAGTGTATTATTAGCAAATAATACGTTACTAGCCACTTACATAGAATTACCTAATCTCAGCTACAGCGCTAGGAGCTTAGTCTCTTCGAGGTAGAGTAGCACTCGATCCGCAGCCCTCTAGTGTTCCTAGCTAGAATTAGAGAGAAACCTAGCTAGGCGGGACGTTGCAAAGGCAATATCCAGCCTAGTATTAACAGCTGCGTAGAGTAGGGATCCAATCTTGCGTTAATACTTGGTGATTTCTAGTAGAGTAGCTAGCCCGTCTCGTGGCTTCAGCTTAGCACTGCCTATTGGGGTATCGTGCCAGACAGTCTTGTCCTTAGCTAGTTAGCTAATCTTCTCACAGTAGGCCCCTTAGGATAGGTGGATAAGTCGTTTTTCTCGATCTCTCCTCACTTCAATCCCAAGAAACCACTGGATATCGTCCCCACCAGTCATTAAGTAAGTCTTTTTGAGATCTTCTACTAACGTGGTAGCCTGGTGTAGTTGGTGTTGGCCATAGGCTATATTGAAATCATCCACATAGAAGAAGACTAGAGTGCTGTCCTTGATTATACAGCATGGCTCATGGGGTATAGTCTAAAACCTAAGCTTAGTGAGCGTTGCTGTGAAGTCTCGTTGCCATAACGCTGGCGATATCCGCAGCCCATAGAGTGCCTTTTAGAGCTTAAGTATGGTACCTGGCTTCTGATATCCATAGGGCATACGCATGTACACTTCTCTATCAAGTCAGGCGTACACGAACGCGTTAGTAACATCAAACTGCTTAACTTTAAGATCGTATTTAGCCGCAACAGCCATAAATAGACGAAAGGATCGTCCAGCTAGGGTAGCAGCGTAGGTGTCTTGAGAGGTAATATTCCGCTGCTGATCGCCCCTAACTACTAGTCGTGCCTTGCACTTAAGAAACTAGTTTTCTTAATTAAATTTGTAGGTACAGACCCACATGCAGTCTAGAATCTAATGTCCACTTGCCTTAACTACCTTGTATAGTACTTCTATCCACGAGTTAGTGATCTTATAGCTATCTAGATGAGCGCGTTAGGCTTCTTTAAATAGCTCGCCCATTAGATGCTCGTCTAGGTTTGATCTAGCTGTCGGCGGCTCAGGGAGCTGGGATTGATGGATTTTGACTCCTTTGGAGAGCAGCCGTCTAAGCTGCGCCTTGTCTATCGCGCTGCCATTGTGATCTCCAATGCTTCCGGCTTCGGTTCCGGCCATAAAAGCTGCGGCCCATGGGACTGTTTTAGACGATTGGATTTCTGGAGTAGTTTCTGCCGTTCCACTCATGAGCTGAGCCAGTAACGCCACTGGTGGTGGGAGTGGCT